ATGCTGCTATATTGTAATCCTTGTGGAGAAGTGACCGGGAGATATGGACACGTTTGCACACGAGGACCACGATAACACGCATTGAAACCCCCGCCTTGTCAGCCTGGGCTTGTTATGTTTCGCGTACATGACTTGCTTGGAAAGCATGAAATGAACTTTGCCGAGCGACACACGCCACGGCCTCAAGTGTAAGGCCTATCAGTTACTGCAGCACAGTAACACTATCTGAGAACGAAGCTTGTGCGCTGATGGGCCCGTTCATTTCCAGCAAAGAAGTTGGCTACAACATGCTGCAGACGTCGTGGACGGAGGTGCTGCGCTGTGTTACCCTGGTGCATCTGCCATACGCGTTTCTCAGCGAGGAGGGGCCACGCATATACCGATTATGCCCTGAGCACATGAAGAGTTGGTAGCGGGCGTGCTAGCAGCATCCCGTGCTATACATATATGGTCTTCTGGTGTAGTGAAAGCTGAGTTTGTTAACAAGGATTGGTGCTCTCCACTTGATCGGCAGGCCATGGGGGGCAACGAGTTCGATGCTAAGGATGCAGGTGCCCTGCCCTTCCCACTGCGGAAGTTCGAGGCACTGCAGCATGCACACCTTCGAAGAGTGCTCAAGTTCGCTGAAAAGAAGATGATAGAGGCGATTGGGCTTCTCATCCGGGATGGGCCGCTTGCTACAATCCTTAACGACGGCAGGCTATATGAGGTGGGCGAAGCACGCGCTGCTATATTTAGTAGGGAACTGTAGGTACCGAAATTAATTTGAGCGATGCAAGCACGTGTATATGCGACCCAGCTACTCTCATGGCTTTGGATGTCGGTGGTTGCAAACTGTAAGGCAGCCGCTGACACGTTAAGCCGAGCTGGAAGCACAGGGCCACTCTGCCCATCTTGCGAGTCTTTCCCACTTTGGAAGCCGTGCTCACGACATGACGCGAGCATGCGCGGTGCTGTTGCGTGGCTTGGTGCATAAACTGATTGTCCTCCTATAGGCGCAGTAACCTTGGGTTTCTGCAAGCTAGCATGCTATCCTCCTGCTCGCTGGTGGAGGAATTCTAGGGTGGGCCGTAGGGTTTGTGTGCCTTTGCCACTTTACACCAGCCTTTGCCACTTTTAGTCCGCCTGTCGTAATGTTAGCGGCTCCAGAGGTATGGATATCTCTGTCCGGAGTCATGCTAGGTGTGTCCGAACGTACACCGGAGGGCGGGGTTGAAGCCCAGCACATACCTCCTCTTAATGCCGCAGGAGCAGGATCCGATAAGCGACGCTCACAGGAGCATGCTGCGGCGGCTAGGCTTGCAGATGGCCGCTTCCGTACACGACCTCCTCCAGCGGTCCGCTTGCGCGTATGCCGAAACCTTGGAAAACTTTCAGGTAATGGCTATTTTATAACTTAACCTATCCTGAAGCACGTTTCTGCCGTCAAAAATCCGCAATAAGACGGGTTGCGCGTGCAATCTGGGTGGGTGCCTGAAGACCTCTTCGTGGCACTAGCAGAACGGACATCTACGGATTAACGTGAGATGTAAGTAAATTAGGTTCGCGACCAAACGTTCATCCTACTGATTGTGAAATGGTCTGAATGGTAGGCATAGTTGTAACTTGCTGTACGGCATATCACGAACGATGGCCCTTGCAGAAATATGAGGCGTCAGTGGCAACGGCCGAAGATGTTCAGGCGCCGTATGGGACTATCCGCGAGATGTTTGCTTACGGCACGTTCCTGACCGTGCAACTGCTGCTCGAGTATACTGATCCGGAACCGCTGCCTGAGAAGCCTCCACGGGAGGCGGACGACTCTGATGACGGCGATGACGACGGAGGTCGTACCAAGGAGCCCTCAGACGCTGAACCTCCCGAAGTTCGCTATGGAACGTACAGAATCCTGCTCTCTCCCTCGGCTGAAGAAATGGAATATGTGGTCGTCGGGCTCTTCGAGGACATGGTGTCGGACCTGGGCCAGGTGCGTGGAATAATTTATTCAATAATGCGTCTTGGCACTTGCTTATGCGTCGGCAACGAGCTTTTTTTCCGGTCCTGTTGTCATTCTTGTTCGTTGCCTGATCACAACGCAGTGTGGGAGCTTTAATACTTTGCATTAGTGTCTATCCCAGCTTTGTTTAGATGCGTGCCGTACGTGCTGGTTCGGCTGCTTGTTGGTTGCCGCCCCTGCTGGCCGAACTGCGCGTTCCTTGTACGGCATCTCTGCAGCTTCCAAACATCTTCGTCTCGTCACGCGCCTCTGACCGGAGTATTGTGGAGTTCGCCGACTTCGACGTTGACCAGCCTGGATGCGAAGTCGGACCCCTGTGCCATCCGGAAATGCTCATCAATGACCGCTTAGTGGACGACGCAAAGGAGCGCGTGCGCTCCGCTATGGCCCTAGCAATTGAGCGAGCGGAGGAAGTCGCAGTTTTGTTTGGGACAGCGGCTGAAGCGCTGTCTGTGGATATACCCTCCATATTAAGGCAACTGGAGCCGCTTTCTACCCCGCTTGAACATTACCACAAGTGGATTGGTGCGTTCAGAGCGGCAGCAGTTGCCGCCAGCACCGCAGCTCCAACACAGGTACGTCTTGGCGATCCAGATGCAGATATAAGTTCGGGCAGGCTCTGCTGGGGTCCTGCGTGCCAAACAAACGGGTGTCTGTTATTCAAATGCATCGAGGGTGTTATATGCAACGCATCAAAGGAGAATGACTTAAGGGAGTTACGACGTGACGTATATCACATACATCATATCCCTGGTAGCATGGGGCATGAAAGATCTCGTACGAATCCGCGAGGATCACATCGTGCGGGCCGAAAGGTCGCTCAGATGTTTTTTGAATGAACGAGCCCCAACTACTACAAGACCGAGTTGTGCAAATGGACTTGTAATATAAAAGTGCACTCTATATAACAAAACGCAGACTCTGCTGCTAGACGCTCTAACGCGCTCCCTATGGATAGGCGCAGGTGCACTCCAGGTCAATTTCTTTGCTTAACAGCACACCAACTAGTAATATGGGATAATTGCGGGCTTTGCGAAATCAATAAAGAACCACCAACGACCAATAAGCAACCACCAACAAGCAGCAGTCAGCGCAGACATCAAACACAATCGGCCATGCGCATGAAGCGCATCGGCAACCCATGTCCGAAACATAACCTGACAGAGGAGGAAATTCAGAGGACGGCCCCAATGTGGAACAGAGTCACCGAGACCACGTGCGGAGGAAGGGTGTGCACAGACCGCCCAGTCACGTGGCGGGTGGTCCATAGTGACGAAGGTCTGTAGCGGAATCCTAGATACCAAGGTGGGATCGCAAAAATTATTAGCGAACGGCACGCTCTGCAACCTTGTCTGTAGGTGTACGGTGGGTTGTTGCTCGTTGACACGTCACCACTCAAGCATGCGCTTGCGTCCAAGGCGGCAGCAGGGGAGCAGGCACTGCTTGATCAGCTGCAGGCCAAGACCATGGAGGTGGCGAGGCGTGTTTGCCATCGCTGTGAGGAGCTATCTGCAAAAGCTCTGGCTGTTTGTACTAATGTCCGCAGCGTGCTGGAGTTAAAGGTGCGTTTTATTGGTGTGGTGCCATACAGATGCCTGCTATTGGGTTCATGCCTACCGTTCTGTTACCTTAAGCACGAATGGGATCTTCGTGACTTATCTAAACATGTTCGTGGGTCTTGACAACTTTTTAACTGATGTGGTCTCTTTACAGGCTCAACTGTATGCGACTGAGGAAGAGGTGACGGAAATGATGACGTGGCTTCATACCTCTCGCGAGCGGGACGCTGTGCGCTTTGCTTACCGTCACTCTACCCCGGAGGCAGATATCGACATTGCAACGAACGCACAGGCGTGGCCCAAGCGCATGTTTGAAACGTTGGAAAGGTATGCTCTTTGGGGATACGAGCGGTCCGCATCTCCTTACGGGGACCTGCCTAGTTAGGTAATGCCTTTTTTAAGTGAAGGGCGGTAAATGCGCGGCGATATGCATGCATTACTAAAGGCCGCTGTGGCGCAGCGCCTCCTGCCGTGGGTGCTCACTGAGGCGCAGTTGACCCGTCAAATGATCGTGGCTTTCATATGGGAAAACGACAGGCCGTATCGACCTTAAAATCCTGCATTAAGTTCCCGCAGCTGAGAAATTCCTACCTTACTGTGCTAACATTACTCAGGGCTTGGTCGAAAGTCAAGGAGGAGGACCGTTCCTTCCAGTCCAAACTCCGCGCCGCTCGTGACAAGATGTCCATGGATCTTACGGACATCAGCCTTGCCGTGCAAGTCTTTCAGGAAATCAACACGTTTACCGACTTGGTAAGCAGATCCTAAGTGTCGACCGGCGCAATAAGGAATCAAGACTATAAGGCTGCGGTATAGCAGCTGGGCCCCATTAAGGCCTACCGAGATGCTGGGAATGCGCTGTAGCGCGTATATGTACTAACGGTGTGTGCCGTATTGTACGACATCCTATATGTAATGCATGCCTAGCAGGCACGTTGTCTACGATCGCGTCCAATACTGATAAAAATCGATGTAGATTACCCTTGGAGCTCGTGCTGTAGGTCAGATTTTGGTCAACAGGATCTGGCACGTTATCGGTCCCAGTCGATAATGGCGGCAGCTTGTATAAGAGGGTTAGATTGAAATGCCCAGGGAGGTGCACTCATCTAGAAGATGCACCAAATTGTTTTTTTACCAACGTATCATCGAAATTATGTTTACGTTGTGTTCCGTGTGCCGTTTCAGCGAACTTACCTAGACAGCACACGTGTATATTCGTCTGCTTGGCATGTTCCCCTACGGATCATGGATCTCACGTTGTCGTGTTGCGTTTATTTTACCGCCTTACCATTCCAATATTTGTTTCCGCTTTTCGTGCACCGCATTCACCTCACCGTGCAGTCGGAGCTGGCACACGAGGGCGAGTCGCTCCTGGCGCGCATCCAGCAGCTTTCGGATACAGCCGGCAGCATTAACGAGGACGAGGCGCTTCTTGGTTGGGAGGTATGTGGGAAACAACAGGTTGCACACGCACAGGATGGCTGCATTCTCTTGGACATAAATCCCCTTTGTGGCTACGCTCCGTTCAGGTTACGGAGTGGCCTGCCATTCGGGAACTGTCGACGGATCTGGAGCCCTATGCATCATTGTACAGCATAACCAACGATTTTGGGCTTCGCTACGAGGAGTGGCTTTTTGGCCCTATCAAGGACCTTAACGCCGAAGAGGTCGAGAACAACGTTGGTGAATGGTTCAAGAAGGTGCGCGTGGCATTCACACATTCTTGTATGCCGTGTACTCGCTACTGCACGTCTTCGCTGGAATGGAACCGTTACTGTGTGGCCCCCTGCCTTTGCAGATGGTACGGCTCAGCAAGAGCCTTCCGCGGCCGGAGCTGCGCACCCTGGCAGAGACTACCCGTGCACGGCTTGAAGAGTTTAAGGAGAATGTCCCAATTATAATGGCCGTCTGCAATCCCGGTAGGGATTGTTTTGAAACTGACCGGAGTTCCATTCTCTCATTGACGTTGGATGCTTCTATGTAGGTATGCGTGGACGACACTGGGAGCGCCTTTCCATGGCACTCGGCACTCGTGTATCCCCGGGTGCTGACGGCGAGCTGAACCTCCAGAAGCTCTTGCTCTTGGGAATAACGTCCCACCTCGAGCTTCTGCAGGCAAGTACTTCCGACCGTTCGCAACTTTTCCCGCCGCCTTCCTGTAGTTGCTGATTTCGTCAACCAACACATTTTTGATCTGCAGGAGTTGAGTGATACGGCGTCCCGGGAGATGGCTCTTGAGCGATCATTGGACCGCATGGTGGCTGAGTGGGGTGGGGTCAAGTTTGAAGTCGTGCCCTGGAAAAATACGGGTGCGTCGGTAGTTTATTCAAATCACTTGTTTTATACTCACCTACGTCCATTTGTGAGGTTTAGGAGTTCCATGATTGGCAGCAAGGACTGACAGCATTTCATCTGTTCAGTGAAGGTTCAAAGAAGATCATGTCTCATACTCCTCACACGGTTGCCGTAGGTGGTACAATCCTCAAGGGCAGCAGTGTCGAGGAAGCACAAGTGCTCCTGGATGATCACGTGGTCAAGTCACAGGCCATGCTCAGCAGTCCGGCATCAGCGCCGTTCCTGGAACGTATTGAAGGCTGGGTGAGGAAGCTCTCCAACATGCAGGTATGTAGAGCTTTCGAAGCATGGTGGCTATGGACCACCGTTCTCATGCAAATAATAGGGTTTGGCACTACTGGTGACGCGACCATTGCCCCCGGGAGATCCCGGGATCGATACCAATTAGGGTCAAAAATCCTTCCGATGGTGGAAGGTATTGCGCCCCTAGTTGATGGACGGTGGTGACCTGGGATAAAGTTAACCTGCGAGCCGACCAGGAATGGAGTTGGGCCGCTGTCGACCCGGCAGATTCCGTTCGATGCTGGTGGTGGGTGCGGAACCTGAACTATCCACTGAGAAGTTGACTAGGGTGACTGGATGAGGGTGCCCCGAAATACCGGGGGAAGGCAGGGTTTCGCAGGGTAGCTGCCACGGGCGAAGATATACTCCCCTGTTAGAGCAAAAAAATAATGTTCGAAGTTTCCGCTGCTGGTGCTGGTAGTATTTCACGTAAAAGTGTGCTCGTCTCTTTGCTCATGTTTATCGCAGGATGTCATAGATGCCTGGATGGTGGCTCAGCAGAAGTGGATGTTCCTCGGCCCTGTCTATGGCAGCGAGGAGATCGCCAAGCAAATGCCCAAAGTATGCCAATATGGCTTTGGGTTATGGCGCCCACAGCGTTTCTGTGGGGGGCATTGCCTTGATGCATGATCCTTGTGGGGGGCTCATGCTTGCGTATGTTTACTACATTACCCTGCAAGTGCCTTGGGCTGGCGGTATTACTGCCATCGACGCTTTGTAACGCTGACTGCAGGAGCGTTGGGAGTTCCAGGCTGCGGACGCGCGGCTCAGGCTTATCATGCGGGCTGTGGAGAAGAGCCCAGAGGTCCTTTCGTTCACAGACACACAGCATTTGCTAAGCGACTTGCAGGTGGGTGCATGTGGCCCCATTCACAGCTAATCGGATGAACACGCACACTGATGTTGTTCACATATTTTCGTATTTTGCACTCGCAGAGCTGCAATATGTCTTTCAGCATTGTTGAACGATCTTTGGCGGCCTACCTGGAATCCAAGAAGCTCCTTTTTCCGCGATTTTTCTTTTTATCAAATGATGAACTTATCGAAATTCTCAGCGAAGCGAAGGAGCCTCTCCGTATACAGCCGTTCGCCAAGAAAATCATCGAGGCTGTCAAGTGAGTTAAGGAGTATTAATCTTCGCGTTCTTGTGCCCAGTGCAGTCTTGACATGTTCCAGGATAACCTCGGTTTTCATTCCTGGACAGGGAGTTCGAGTTTAACGCGGCGCAGGAGGTTACAGCCTTGATCAGTGTGGAAGACGAGAGGATACCGTTCGACCGCCCTGTCATTACAAGCAGCGAAATGGTGTCTGGTGTCGAGTTTTGGCTCATTAAAGTGGAGGAGCAGATGCGCGTCAGCGTTGCAACGGTCATGCGGCATGCCATCAAGGTAAGGTCGGTACTGGGTGTTCGCGCACGAACAATGAAAGTTTTAGAGGTTACAGAAACTTCTAGACCATCCGTAATAATTCCTCCGTTAAAATCAAACCATCCCTTGAATCATATGGATGGGATAAGAGTTCCTTTTGATCATATCCCACGCCGATCAACGCCGATCCTTCGTATGAAGGGACCCTCGTGCTTACCCACCATGTCGTACGTACGGCACGCCGTTCTGTCCTATAGACTTTGCCAAATTACATGTATAACTTTTATTGTATTCAACTCTAAAGCCAGAGAGCTACGAAGACTTATGTAAAATTAAGGATTGCTCCTCCGTGGTTCGTTAGTTCCAAATCCTGGCAAATACATCCAAAGTGCCTCCAAAACGCCTCCTCGTAGTTGCCATCTTACCCCCAGACACCAGTCTGGCCACAAGGGGCCTGTATCACGGCATATACAGCCCGAAACAAGCCGTGTCAGTTCCTTGCCCAGACTCGTGAAGGACGGCCCAGGCACGGCGTACGATTGTGCGGGCTGGGACTGAGGTTTTGAGGTAGCAGAGAAGGGGGTGGTCAAGTATGGGCAACTCCTAACCATTTGTCCCCGAACGCTAACCACCTACCACCAAGACCCTCACCCCGCGTACGGTCCTAGACTTACTTGTTTAGGATGGGCACGTGGGCCTCATGAATCACCTGGATCAGGCCAGCCGATGACTTACGGACACCGAAACCACCTTAGAAGCACTCTAGGATGAAGGCTGCGAGAGCTGGGTTAACCCACACGTGGCCTACCACCCGGCTGGGGCTTACTCTTACTCATCCATACTGGCCCGGCACACGCGGGTCGGCTGCACTCAACCCGCGACACCGGGCGGCCTTAGCGCCTCCACAGTGTCCCGTTCCCGTCGGGGGGCAGATCCAGGGATGTGGAGGCATGAATCCCCCCCCAAATATCTGGGACCATCCGACACATCGCTCAATCCTGGCGGACCGGGCCCAAGCCGCGTCCCGAGGAACGGAGATCGTAAACACGCACCCCAACAAAATTTATTCAACGGCTGTAAGGAAGATCCCTTTGCTGTGAATCTGCCGACCTGCAGGCATATCCAACTACTGCGAGGGCCAGCTGGATTTTGGAGTGGCCGGGCCAGGTGGTCCTGGCAGTGGCACAGGCCTACTGGACTATGGGCGTGGTGGAAGCCCTGACATCAAGCGGCCTCTTTGGGCTGGTTGAGTACGGAGAGCAGTGCCGGCGTGACCTCATGGAGGAGGTCATGCTAGTACGTGGTCACCTGAAGCCACTCGAGCGGGCCACCATTGGGGCCTTGGTCGTGTTGGACGTACATGCCCGCGACGTTGTCGCCGAAATGGTGAACGACAAGGTGCGTACAACTGGGTGTAGCAGACCTAAGCATTTCCTCTATGCCGTTGCGTCCTTCGTATGGAGCGGATGAGCAAGTAGCCGTGACCTCCTGTTGCGGTGATTCAGGTTTCCAGTATTGACGACTTCAGCTGGCAAAGTCGCTTGCGCTACTACTGGGAGAACAACACCATGCATGTACGGATGCTGAACGCGGAGTGCACGTATGGCTACGAGTACCTCGGCAACAGCTCCAGACTCGTTATCACACCGCTGACGGACAGGTGCTACCGCACGCTGTTGGGAGCTCATCATATGAACCTTGGAGGTGCCCCTGCAGGCCCTGCCGGTACGTGCTTACGAGTGAACCAGACAGCTCGACTGCTGTAGCGCAGCAATGTCTCACTTCCCGTACGTGCATTCAAACCTAGGCTTTTGTTTGTAACAGCGCTATGGAAAAAACCTTTATACATGTATGCTTTTCTCCATGTGGCGCATGATTGTAGGGACGGGCAAGACTGAAACCACCAAAGACCTGGCTAAGGCAGTGGCCATCCAGTGCGTGGTGTTTAACTGCTCCGACGGCCTGGATTACCTGGTGGGTGCATTTATATGCATGACTCGAGCCTCTAAGCTTCCTAGCATTTGTTTGTAGGGTTACCAATGCATGACGTGCACTGCTTAATACATGTTTGTGCTGTTTACAGGCCATGGGTCGGTTTTTCAAAGGCCTTGCCGCCAGCGGTGCATGGGCATGCTTTGATGAGTTCAACCGGATTGAGCTGGAGGTCTTGTCCGTCGTGGCGCAGCAGGTATGGTTTAATCTACGTGCCCTGTGTACAGCTGTATTGGATACAGAACTGAAATCCGGCGTATCTGCTGAGGACGATTTCAAGATCGAGAATGCCGTACAAATATGGCCTTACAATTATAATGTAATCCAGTAAGATCTATGCACAGCGTCTGCAGAGACCTTTTCAAGGATCATCCGTTTTGCATATGCCGTTACTTGCTTGATACGCGCTGCATATGGACCACCGCATAAGACCGCGCACCCCTGGTGTGTACGAGATGGTGCAGTCTAGAACGGTGTTTGTTAGGAGTTAATGGATGGGGGGACCGCGCGAGTGCATGCTTCGACCTTGAGAATGCCAAACGTCCCGCGATCCATATCATGCATTGCATGTTTCAGGGTGTTACTGTTGCGAGCTAGTTCATACCAATAGTTTCCGACTCCACATAGAAACAATTCCCGTCCCATACCCTTACCACCAAAACCTTCCTGCCGTGCATCTGTATGGTGCCAGGTCTTAACCATCCAGCGAGCAAAAGCTGCGGGAAAGAAGCGGTTCGTTTTTGAAGGTACAGACATGGTTCTTGTGCCGACCTGCAACGTCTTCATTACCATGAATCCGGGCTATGCGGGTCGGTCTGAACTGCCTGACAACCTCAAGGTGAGTCGCTTAGTTTTGTGAATGGGACTGCTGGAAAGTCGAAGGGCTGCTGGAAATATGTACTTAGGGTCCCTAGGGATTGTGATTGAGCGGTTGCGCATGTAAGGACCGACTCTTCACCGCTTTCCTGCTTTTTGGCAAAAAATGGCCTTCATTGAAGCAACTTTTTTGGGTTGACTTCTCTACGCCGCGGTCCTTGTCCCGTATATGCCACGCTCCAGGCCCTATTCCGGGATGTTGCAATGATGGTTCCTGACTACGCGCTTATCAGCGAGATCATTTTATACTCGTACGGCTATTTGGAAGCACGTGCCATGGCTCAGAAGCTGGTGCAGACTTACCGTCTCTGCTCTGAGCAGCTTTCCCGCCAAGATCATTACGACTACGGTAAGCTGCTAGTTTGGCCCATTGGTATGCATTTCAGCTTGCTCCAGGCACAGGAACTTTGCCTCAATCATAAGTTGGTAATTCTGTTTTCACGGGAGGATTTGTGCTACCGATGCCATTCTTATGACAGGTATGCGGGCTGTCATGGCTGTGCTGCGGGCCGCCGGCAACCTCAAGCGCCGATATGCGGGACACAGCGGCGATACCTACGGGGAGCCAATCTTGATGCTCCGTGCAATTACGGAGGTCAACTTGCCCAAGTTCCTTGACGAAGACGTGCCTCTATTCAAAGGCATCCTCTCGGATTTGTTCCCAGGTAAGAAACGCCCAGCCTGCTGGTAGCCGCATGCCTGATTCGGAAGGTTGGGCTGAGGATTATCAAAGAGGATCTCATCCTACAGCCATTCACTGAGCAGGAGTTAACAGACTTGTTTATCTGTTCCCGTGGTCCGGGTTGCAGGGGTCTCGTTACCGGCGGTTGACTACGGCGAGATGACTGAAGCTCTGACTCGCAACGCGCGTGCCCTTAACCTTCAGCCACTTCCCTCCTTCATCGAAAAAGCAATCCAGTTATACGAGATGATCGTCGTACGGCATGGCCTCATGCTCGTGGGACGGTCCTTCAGCATGAAGACCGTAGCTATACGTGTCCTGGCGGCTGCTTTGGGCGATATGTGTGCAGCAGGTACTGTAAGACACAAAGGCCTGTTGACCGTATGGTTGGAAATCGCGTAGCAACTCTTGTATTATGGCTCAGAGGCCATGGCTACGGGCACCAGTAGTAACATAGGCCTGGCGAAGCCTGGCCTGCGCATGGCTGCACATAGCACCTTGGAAATGTATGTGTGTCATGGGAAGATGGAGTGGAGTATAGGGTACCAGGTGTACTTTTCCTCGTTGGCCCTGATAGCGCACTGGTTTGCAATCTATCCTGTCACGCAGGTCATGGCGAGCAGAAGGTCAAGACGTTCACAATCAACCCGAAGGCTGTCACAATGGGCCAGCTGTATGGGCAGGACGACCCGCTGTCCAAGGAGTGGACGGATGGTGTCCTCGCAGTCGCCTTCAGGTGAGCAGAGTAGGGTTGCGACAACGCATCTCAGCTGCAGATCTGATGCGGTTATTCATCGGCTCCTCATGGAAACTTAAGTGGTTCTGATGGGTATGCACCCCTGCATGCCTGTCCGCACACACCGGGACCTTCGAACGGCTACCGTTGAAATATCGGTCAGTATACCCGGTTTAGCCTGCTTGTCAAAATGACAACGTGGAACACCTGCTAACGACACGACCCCGCGCAATCCATGTATGGCCGGCCTGAATGTGCAGGACCGCGGCGCGTGATACGTCACCTGACCGGAAATGGGTGGTACTGGATGGTCCAGTTGACGCGATTTGGATTGAAAACATGAACACGGTACTGGACGACAACAAGAAGCTGTGCCTTAACAGTGGTGAAATTATCGCGATGCAGGTAAGTGCGTATTAAACTCCACAACAGCAGCCTATTTCGCTACAATGTCTGGCATGCACGTTATCACAAGGTGGTTCCGTCGTACGGCTATCTGTGGTTGCGAAGGTGTCTCGCTACAGCATGGCTTTTCTGTTTCCGTGACTTGTCAGTCTTTGTGCACGTGGCCTCCTAAACCAGTTGGCTGCGTGCCTAGGAACCTGAATTGGTTGCTTCCCGTACCGCGCACTCTACGCAGGGTTTGATGAACATGATCTTCGAGGTGCAAGACTTGGCAGTGGCATCCCCGGCAACTGTGTCACGGTGTGGCATGGTTTATATGCAGCCTTCCCTCCTAGGCTGGAGACCGATTGTGCAGTCCTGGATGAATACGCTGCCCTCCGTTGTAACACAGGAGATAAAGTAAGTAGCCTCCGATAATATACATTTGCGTCATGCTTCTCCTTGCGTACGCAAGGGAGGACCTCGTGGGCAAACTGCATGTACAGCGTGTACGCATATATATGTCCAGGCACAGGCGATGCCTGAATGCATGGGGGGTGGTTGGGACTGCATTGTTGCAAGTTGCTAATTATGTCGGGCCTCTTAAGTTACAAGTTACAAGTTACAAGTGCCGCACGAGTGCGGGGGTGTCCGTCAAAGCTTAAGTTTGAGGCAGTCCCTTCATATATCCCATCCACAACTCTCTTGGATACCTGCAAATTGTTTTGTGCTTTCTCTGCTTTCTTTGGTGCCCACGTAGGGATCACCTCAACATGCTGCTGGAATGGCTCATCCCGCCCTGCTTGCGCCTTGTTGGCAAGGACTGCGTGCAGCCGGTAGCAGTCCAGGACATTAACATGGTCAGGAGTCTGACCCGCCTTCTCCAAGGTTTATTGCTGCCTCACCTGCAGCCACCACCGCCGCCTCCTGGCACACGACCTGCAGAGCGTGCGGCGCCTGAGAATCTTTTAGTCACGGTAGAATGCCTGTTCATCTTTTCGCTTGTTTGGAGTGTTGGAGCGGTCGTGGACTTGGCTGGTCGGTCTGCGTTCAGCAACAGCTTGCGGCAGTTTTTGCGCGGAGACTTTGGGGCATACAAGGCATACGTCACAGGCAATGCTTGCCCGGTCAAGAAGGCCATGCCAGCCGATGGAAGCGTGTATGACTGGGTGTATGACACGGCGACGGAGTCCTGGAAAGGTAAACTTCTGCATGCAACCCTAGTTACATGGTATATCATCAAAAATGCAGCTGCAGGGGCGTGGGCTTGATTTGGGTGATAGGTCGCGGGAGTTTTCAACATTTTGCGAGATGGCCCGGTGGTGGAATAAGCGGCTATCAGCTAAGGGTGCTACTGGCAACTCCTATGGTGTTGCACACTTGCTAGCTAGCAACTTTTAATGTTCGCCGTTACCACGCAAACATGAAGACATAACTGCATATGCATGTGCGTGTGCATTCCTTGACGTGCATTCGTTATTGTGTGGCTTGCTGCTGGAACGGCATTCGACAGCAGGTTCCACGTCCGTAAGCGCCAGGGGTTCTCCTCCTGCTGCCTTCACCTTTCCGTGTCATTTACCCACCCCGTCACCTGGCTCGTGCTTTCAGGGTGGATGGATTTGCGCAAGAGTGAACCGATACGCCCTGAGGCCGAATACAGCACAATCATTGTCACGACTGCTGATGTCGTACGGTACAGCTACCTTCTAGAACTCCAGGTCATCAACTATGTGCCGCTGTTATTCGTTGGGCCAACCGGCACTGGAAAGTCGGTCTACATCAAGTCCTTCCTGGCATCAAAGCTCGACCGGTCTGCATGGGTACATATGGTTTTCAACTTTTCAGCCCAAACAAGTGCGAACATGACTCAGGTGGGCCTGAAGGTCTACAATGCAGCGACGTCGCGCTGGCATTTCGCATGCAGGCTGTTCACCACGCTGGCTTAGGGGGGGTCAGTTGTGTTTACTTTGCTTCAGTGATGCTACTGCAGTTGCAGTTTACCTAGAGAACGCCTGATCGTCCGTTGTCTCAGGACTGCGTGTACCTGACATTTCCATTACCACAGGATATCATTGATGGTAAACTAGATAAACGCCGCAAGGGTGTTTACGGACCGCCTGTGGGCAAGCGCTGCGCCATATTTGTGGACGACTTAAACATGCCACAGCTAGACCGTTACGGTGCTCAGCCTCCCATTGAGCTTCTGAGGCAGGCCATGGACCACTCAGGGTGGTACGACAGACGAGATAACAGGTGCGCCTTGGAAGGCACAGCAGAAATGCTGATTGTTACACGCGCGCACTGCCCTCTAGGTTATTAACATGATCGTGGATTACCGTGTCATAAAACCCTAAGTCGTATTGCGTACTTGTACACGTCATGCAGCTTCCGCAAGCTTGTGGATCTGCAGTTCCTCGCGGCCATGGGACCCCCGGGCGGAGGGCGGAATCCGGTTACGAACCGGTACCTGCGTCACTTCCATGTGGTGCACGCCACTGAGTTTGACGCTGCGTCCTTGAAGCAAATCTTCGGCGCGCTCACGGACTGGTGGTTCAGCCGGTGCAAGTAAGTGTACGTATCTGCGGGTGTGTGTCTTCTGTAAGGACAGGGTTGCCTACATACTAGGGTGGAAGGCGTAGAAGAATTATCCACAATGCGGACGAATCATCTTTCTTGTCCATGAAACGGAGTCATTCCAGATTGTGTGGTTTTGATCCACCCCAGGTACAAGTCTGAAGTGGTTGGGCTGCGGGACAAACTCGTCGCGGCGAGTTTGAAGCTGCATTTTGCAGTTTCGGAAAATCTGCTTCCGACCCCAATGAAGTCCCATTACGTGTTCAACCTACGCGACCTCTCAAAGCTTTTCCAGGCAAGTGGTTAAGCGTCGTCCCTTGCATCACTTTTTACGTTCTGTGAACGGAGGTCACACCCCTGTAGGGTATGTCGTTCGTCGGCGAGGCATTGGACAACGACCCTGAGCGGCTGCAGAGACTATGGGTCCACGAAGCACTACGCGTCTACCACGACAGGTTGGTGGATGACGCCGATCGTAACTGGATTGCAAAGCAGATACGTGCAAATGTCGAGGACCATTTTGGCAGTCGCTTTGATAAGGTAAGAATGGGCCCGATGTGCTATCGTGCAGTTTGGTAGGTCCAGCACAACTGCTTAAGCTATACTGCCCTGTGGCAGCAAGGTGTAACCGACTCTGGAACCCGTGCAGCTGCTGTCACGCCTAGCGGATGAAGGCCACGAGAGCACGGTACACGTAGGTGCCCCCCAGCTCCGCCGCCTTCTGTTTGCTGATTTCCTCATCCCCGGCGCGGAGCCACGCCGCTATGACGAGGTCATGGACTTCGAGCGGTTGACGGCGGTAGTCGGCGAGTATTTGGCAGACCTTAATGCAGGTACGTGCAACCACAATGACGTTCAGATTGTACCAAACACGATACCTGTCTGGGTGGTGCATGGATGATGGCATAATGGTGAAATCTTATCTAATTTCTTTGTGTTGCAGGCAGCAAGAAGCCACTGAGCTTGGTTCTTTTCCAGTTCTGCTTGGAACACGTCTGCCGAGTGGCACGTACCATCCGCCAGCCTGGAGGTCATGCGTTACTCGTCGGTGTGGGTGGAAGCGGTCGTCAGAGTGTGACGCAGCTAGCAGCTTTCATTGAAGACTTCCTGGTAGGTCTAGGCTTGGGGTTGCGTGATACGGGCGGCGAAGCATTGCACCTTGTGGCAAGCACTTAGAGATGCAGCTACATGAGATGGTGGAGGGCGTCTGCAATTACCACCTGTACGCCGCCAACCTCACCTGACACCCAGGTGTCACGCGCCTCAACCCGTACGCTATCGGAAATGCAAATGTTTGAACTTGCATTCAAACCCTATTTAATCGATTGACCCCGTGCCATGCATGTCCAGCTTTTCACTATCGAGGTCAGCAGCACCTACGGAATGACAAACTGGCATGACGACCTTAAACTCGCCCTGCGGACGGCCGGCGAGAAGGGCAAAAATGCGGTCTTCATGTTCAGCGACAGCCAGATATTGGACGAAACAATGGTGGGTGAGATTGTTTGAGATGTTTGCAGGTTGTCGCCCGTGCCTACCTGCTGCCTACCCGAAACGCATGTGGTTGTCCCTAACCCTCTTCCAGGTCGAGGAGCTCAGTAGCCTCTTGAACACGGGCGAAGTTCCAAACCTCTTTGATGCTTCTGAGCTGATTGCCATAGGCGAGACGTTGCGCCAACGCGCCCGAACAGCTCGAATGGACGGCAGCCGTGCGGACATCAACAACTTTTTCGTGAATCAGGTCAGTGTCTGGCTACTCACTAACCCGGGCAATTGGGAACACTAAGAAGGAAATGTCGCACTTGAGGGCTGCTTTTGCGTTCACAGGTTCGACAACACTTGCGTGTGGTGCTCTGCTTCAGCCCGGTCGGTGACGCTTTTCGAGAGCGCCTGCGCCGATTTCCATCACTGACTACCTGCACAACTATAGACTGGTTTACGGTCTGGCCAAATGATGCCCTGGCTTCAGTGGCGGAGCAGGCCCTCGGCGAAATGGCACTTGAGCAACAACTGCGTCATCAGCTAGCCGATCAGTGCGTCCGTTTCCACCTTACGGCACGAGCATTGACTGACAGGTACGATGCGGGGCAGGTCGGGTTAAGGCTCGCGGTTCGAGCCGTCTGCTGACCGCGGTTACGTGTGTGTGTGTATGTGTGGTTGTTATAGTGGCTCCAGACTCACAAAGAGTAGAGCCAGCGGGCCAGCGGGCCGTGCAATGCACCTGTTACGATGAGGGCAAACAAGACTCCCACCCAGACCAGGCAACGCAAGTCACCTAGACAGCCAAAACCAAACCCAAAGGAAAGGCTCAGAACCCGCAACCACTGGGGACTTTGCCATTAGACTCCTAAGTGGCAAAAGTCTTCGGGCCCCCACCAGAAGGCCCATGAGGAAATACTGATAAGAACTTGCACGTTGTTACTAGATGAGGCCTGAGCCCCAAAAGCCTCCCAATAAAAAGAAACCAAAAAAAGAATAAAAAATAGGTGATAGCTGATCGTCCATCGGCGGCCTCTCCCGTTACTGTTACGTGTTCCTAGAGCAGGTATAGGTTTCCCCTCGGACCAGGTGCCTCTGCGCATCCTGTCTGCTTCAAGGCAAAACTGTATAGGATGCGTTCCCCATGTGCCATAGTAGCTAGCAATAGCAAAGGTTTCGTCCTCTTCGGGTTCCTGTTCCATGTGGTTATGCTTGCTTTTCCCCCGGGTTCTTTCCGGGCTCACTCCTGTCCTGTCCGTTCGCGAGGTTTGTGGATGCTTCTCCTTTGGGTATCATCTTTGTTTTTTGCCGCCCTTTTGTAATTGTTCGGGTCCCTACCTTCTTCTCCGGGTCCGTTTCTTCTCACCTTGATTGCGCCATTGATGAACCCGTCCTCACCGAAAGAATAGTGTTATTGGGCTCATCCACTCGTTGTGGTACGAAATGGTTGTGTATTATTCATTGACGCCTGACAGCGATGTGAGCACACCATATCGTCTGCCCACGTCCCAACTTTTCAGGGTTTGAGGTTCTAGGGTTTTGAAGTGACATCGATTGTGTGTCATGTGTAGCATCCACTTCGGAGCTGCGAAGGAGAGGCAAGACCCTCCGCTTCTTTGTCTCTGTCTTCTCAGGTACCGCCGTGAGGCCAAGCGCCACTATTACGTGACACCGACCAGCTACCTTCAGTTGCTTGATTGCTTCAAGGCACTTCTTCGTCGCCAGCAACAGGCAGTATCTGCTCAGCGGCGGCGGTATGAGGTCGGGTTGGAAAAGCTCGCCGCGACTGAAGAGCAGGTGCGAATTCTGTTATTTATTGTCTACATACCCTGCATCGACTAGACATGTTATTCCTTATGGCGCAGGTCCTGCTTATGCGCAAGGAATTGGAGGAGAAGCAGCCACGATTGATTATTAGTGGTAAAGAGACGGAGGAGCTAATTGCGCTGGTGGAAACGCAAACAGTGGAGGCGGATAAGGTCAAGACCATGGTTGAGGTAAGAATTGTGGTGTCTACAAAAGTGACGGCCTTTATGTTCGCCCGCCTTTATGTTCGCCCTGTGAGTCGCGCATGCCCTGGGGATACACACGTCATACACGCACGGGAGTATGGGGAAATCAGTACCATGTGGATGTTTTTTACCAATCAAACCCACAAAAGAGCTTCAAGAAGCTGGCCATAGCTGTTTATGGTTTTCCCTAACCTGTTTGGCAACGGCAGGCTGAGGAGGCCAAGGCCAAAGAGGAGGCACGAAAAGTCGGCGTGATAAAGCAGGAATGTGAGCACGACCTTGCGCAAGCTATGCCCGCTTACAATGCTGCAATCAAGGTGAGGTGAAACGTTTGCTGCCAAGGTCGGGACCAATCAGGTTCCAGGCTTGCCTTTTAGCACTGGCTTTGTAGACAGGAACACCCCAAAAAGCTTGGTACGCCGACCTGGGTTTGCGTATGACCAAAATGCCTGACATGATAATACTCCTGACGAGGCGTGGTTTCGCCGTACTTTCTTAACATGCAGGCCCTGAACACGCTCACCAAGAACGACATCAGCGAGGTCAAGGGCATGAAAGCACCACCAATGCCTGTAAGGCTTGTCATGCAGGCTGTGTGTCTCCTGAAGGGCTTGCAGCCTACCAAGGTGAAGGACACCAACACCGGCAAGTTCATCATGGACTGGTGGGAGACATCGAAGCGCATGTTGAGCGACATGGGCTTCTTGGACAGCCTGATGACGTTTGACAAGGTAGAGGGGACCCCTGCCTATCTGTAGCACAAGGCCTGACGGAGGCAAGCGGACAACTGCCTGCGTGTCCTTACATGTGACCTCCCTTTGGGCCCCATGGGTATCGAACCATTTACGCAGGATACCATCGCCCCGGAGATTATTCAAGCACTACAGCCCCTCCTCTCACACCCAGACTTTCAACCTGCCAAAATCAAGAAGGTCTCGCAAGCGGCATTTGGATTGTGCAGCTGGGTGCGGGCTATGGACACGTATGACCGCGTTGCAAAGATTGTTGCCCCAAAGCGTAAAGCCTTACAGGTGAGTGGATATATTGTATGGCAGTGTGGGCTACGGTTGCCTGCCAGTCGAGGGGAAGTCGTGCATACAAGACAGCGACGTCCGTTTTTGTTTACTAGTTGACAATGTGCCATACCGTACTCGGCTTTTGGGCGCAACGGCGGCTTATTGAAACGGCCATGCTGCAGTTGTACTCAATATCACGATGTTTTGTGTAATCATCGTCCCTCTGCTCTTCGATGCCACGTCTGCCTCTCACAGGTTGCGGAAGAGCAGCTAGCGGTGGTCAAACAGCAGCTTGCTGCAAAACAAGCAGAGTTGCAAGCTGTTGCAGATCGGCTCGCAGGTCTCCAAGCTAAGCTCGAGGCAGCCAAACGAAGGAAGGCGGAGCTTGAAGCGGATGTAGCGCTCTGTGAGGAGAAGTTGGATCGCGCAACGAAGTTGATGGCCGGGCTTGGCGGAGAGAAAGCAAGGTGGAACCAGAAAGTGGACGAACTGGGCGACCAGTTTGTCCGTCTCATTGGTAGGTGATATTACAGCACGCCTGTACCGGCCATAAGCTGGCCGGCCGGATCCCAGAAGCTTTTGTTGAAACACAGCATCAAAGCGACATCGGCGCAGGACTGGACGCATCCTTTTCGTGTGATGATACAATGCAATACAGGATTCGGGGGATATGTAAATAATCTAAATGTTGGGTCGATAGTGTGTCACTTTGGAAGTAAAGCCAGCGGTGGATTCGAATAGTCCATGTGTCCCCAGTATCCTGGGCCCCAGTATCCTGGGCCCCAGTATCCTGGGCCCCAGTATCCTGGGCCCCAGTATCCTAGGTCCAGGATAACAATGTGCGTAACCTATTTCAACCTCATCTCCCACCCATAACGGTGAAGGTTTTGGCGGCGCCCATACTGCGGAAATCCGAACGTTTTGCAAACGCACACATGCGCGGTTGTAGCTTGTCCCGCGGCTGTTGTGCATCAGCAGCTGTGGTAGATGTGGCCTACTGTACGACAGCTGCTATAGCAGCCGAACAGCAACCGGCGCCATTTGCTATCATTTTTTTGCAGGTGACATGCTTCTTTCTGCTGGTGTAATTGCGTACTTGGGCGCCTTCAGCTCAGAGTACCGTGCACAAGCTGTTAGCACATGGGTGACCCAGTGTGCGGCCCGAGCTATTCCCTGCTCGGAAGTCTTCTCGCTGCTAAGTGCATTGGGTAACCCGGTCTCCATGCGCCAATGGGCCATTTGGGGCCTACCGAAAGACGATGTCAGCGCGGCAAACGGCATTATTGTCATGGAGAGCTCCCGGTGGCCGTTGTGCATCGACCCCCAGGTAATATTGGGCATTGACGATTTCTTGTTCGGAATCCAAGTCCTGCAACGCTGCGGTGGACTTGATTGAGGTGCCTGAATATCGAAAAGCATTCCGGTCACACACTTGCTGATGCACCCCTGCTAATTGTTGTTGGGATCCGACTTCTGCTTCAGGGCCAAGCAAACAAATGGATCCGCAACATGGAGGCTACTCGCCATTTGCTTGTGCTTAAGCCTGCTGCTGATCCCAACTACCTGCGATCGCTGGCAGCAGCCCTGCCCTTGGGTACGCCGGTGCTCCTTGAAGGCCTAGGAGAAAGACTTGATGCTTCGCTGGAGCCAGTCTTGCTGAAACACACATTCAAAAGTGTAAGTTTTCTTACTGTGGGAGCTTTGCTGGGTTTGCATCCATATGCAGTATCTTTTTCACCTACGAGAGCTGCCTTAGCATCTAGCGCCTGAGCTCCTAAAACTTGTTCGTTAGGGTGTTCCATCTGGCAGTTTTCTCCAACCCTAACCCTGATAACATTGCCGTCGAGGCAAGCCGCCAGTGGATGCCGGATAACCTAGTTGGAAGCCCCCTGTGGGATACGTCCATGGACGTGCCCATCCAATTGGTGGCAACGTAAACCGTTGGTTTGGTCTGGGGACGACAATGAAATGTATATATGCCCCCCCTTCAATCCATTTCTTATAGTTTGATGAAACTTTAAGGCCACTTGCCACTACTTCAGTCTTTTGTGTACTGCGTGTGTTTGTCTCCTAGGGACGCGATGTACGTGTGCCCCTGCAAGACAGCATCTTTGTTTTCATGCCTTTTGCATGCTTGCAGTCTGGTATACAATGCGTCAAACTCGGCGACCAAGTCGTTGAGTGGGGTTCAGGCTTCCGACTCTACATGACAACGAAGCTCCGAAATCCTCACTACCCCCCGGAGGTACGTGACGCCTGCTGCACATCACGTGTAATGAGTCCGTCTTATCGAAGAAGACGCGATTACTCTTGAAGTCAGGCTCAGCGTGCTGGGAACCAGTGCTGAACGTTCTTTGCTATGGTAGGAGCGTAGTCCTGCTCACTAATAATGGCATGATTGTGTTTACGCAGGTGTGCACACGTGTGGTCCTACTGAACTTCTGCATCACGCCAGCTGGACTTGAAGATCAGCTTCTTGGGATTGTGGTTGCTAAAGAGAGACCAGAGCTCGAAGAGGAAAAAAACAAACTCATCGTCGCAGGTGCGCTGCGTGGATCCTTGACACGAATCTGCGTGTATGGTATGGGAGAAGCCCCAGACAGAGCATGCATGGCAGAAACTTTCTACCGTAAAGTGTAAATGCTTAATGTGTGGTAATCATGCGCAGGTGCTGAGAACTCCCGTAAGCTGCTTGAGATAGAGGATCAAATCTTAGCAGTCTTATCAGCCAACCAAGGGTCAATCCTCGACGATGGAGAGGCAGTCACAGTCCTGCAGAAAGCAAAGCAGCTCAGCGACGAGATTGCCAGCAAGCAACAAGATGCTGCAAAAACAGAACAAGCTATCGATAAGGTTTGTGTGCGCAGACGGTACACCCTAACTGGATGGCTTCATGGGTCTAACTCGGCGTCTCTGTGCAGGCGCGCACTGCCTACCAGCCGATCGCAAAGCACGTTTCTGTGCTGTACTTCTGCGTTGCTGAGCTGCTCAACATCGATCCCATGTACGCGTTCTCACTCACCTACTTCATTCAGCTGTTCCTTCGTTCTATCGATGAGAGCCAACATCACACGTTGGTGCCGAAGCGGCTGGCGCTTCTGCAGGACCATTTCACTTTCTTCCTGTACGCGAATGTCTGCAGGTGGGTCGATCGTACATGAATATTATGCCTTATCAACATGAGACTTTCGGGGAAACGGCCACGCGCAAGCAACCAGCCCTATTAGCGACCTACCACCAAACTCCCCTAACAATTGGAAGGCCCAGGGCTCTCGGAAACTTGGCCGGTCAAGAGGTCGGCATGAATCACCTGGATCAGGCCAGCCGATGACTTACGGACACCGAAACCACCTTAGAAGCACTCTAGGATGAAGGCTGCGAGAGCTGGGTTAACCCACACGTGGCCTACCACCCGGCTGGGGCTTACTCTTACTCATCCATACTGGCCCGGCACACGCGGGTCGGCTGCACTCAACCCGCGACACCGGGCGGCCTTAGCGCCTCCACAGTGTCCCGTTCCCGTCGGGGGGCAGATCCAGGGATGTGGAGGCATGAATCATAGCACACTGCCAGTGCGCCTCGATCCGATCCCAGTGACATCCCTGTTTGTTGCAGAGCACTGTTCGAGAAGGACAAGTTGCTATTTGCCTTGTTGCTGGCAATGAGCATCCAGGTGGCGGCCGGCACACTGGCACCCCAGCTGGTGCAGTTTATGGTGACAGGTGCGGTGGCATGCATAGCTTCGGCAATCCTGCGTTGTGCACATGCACGATGGCATGATGGTAATTTCACGGGCGTGGGCGGTTTACAACGATGATGTGGGTTGCTAATACTGATTGTGAGCTTCTTTGCCCTATATTGCTGTAGGGGCCCGTTCCATGGACAATCCACATGCGAACCCTTCGTCTGGCTGGCTGAGCGACCAAGCTTGGTCGAACTTATGCGAGCTGGAAGGCACTGGAGAGGCCTTCAGTGGGCTTCGTGAGAGCATCACTGTCCACAATGAGCAGTGGCACGCAGTGTATAACGGCACTCAGCAGGTGTGCATGTATGCAGTTTTTCCAAAGGGTCGCCTCCGGCGCATAGGTCCGTCATATTATAGGTCCGCTCTATCTTGTATCTGTAAAACCCTGAGTCATTGGAAGTTTATTCCCCCCGGCCGACCGAATCGAATATGATCACGCCCGTCCCACGTCCAACCAAAGATACGCGTTCATGGATTGCTGTCCTTTTGTGTTGAATGCTGTTAAATCTGTTCCAAAGCATTTTTTTGGTCATCCGCCTGCGTCATCAATAGTGCTGCTGCCGTATTTGTTTGCAGGAACTGCCTGGAGGAATGCAAGAGCGGCTGGACCCGTTCCAGCGTTTGCTGCTAATCCGGTGCCTCTCACCTGACAAATTGTTACCTGCTGCCGCTGCCTACGTGGCGGGTAGCATGGGGACACGGTACGTATCGGAAGATGTTGCCCACTGGAAGCTTGGATAATATGTCTGAATGTGCCCCTTCACCCATGCCGTGGTCCTAAAAGGAGTTGTGTGTTGCTTCCTGCGGCGAGCCCAGCTGATGTTGATGTTGCATACCACTTTGGCCCCATCACATCAGGTACATCGAGCCCCAGGATTTCAAGCTGAGTTCCATATTCATGGACAGTACGTCATCTGTGCCAATTGTGTTTGTTTTATCGCCTGGGACGGACCCAATGGCCGACTTGCTTGCTTTTGCGGAGGAGAAAAGGAAGCAGGTGTGTCGGCCGACGGACGGTTGTAAATGCAAAACATACGATAACCTAAACAGAGGAGCAGCTTGCTAGGACACCAACCTCGGCGCCGCAAGCAACAAATAACACAGCGAACGTTGTGTCATGTGTACGCAGGTCGAGGCCGTGAGCCTTGGGCAGGGCCAAGGGCCAATCGCGGAACGGTACATTTCTCAGGGCATCAAGGATGGGCGTTGGGTTGTTCTGCAGGTAAGGCAGGTGCAGCTGTGAACAGGATATTGTTACGTAGTTGCCGCCGTCCCTTTCATGCCCTGCAATCCTGCAATGATGGACACACACACCCAAGGCACGTGGCCAATGGACTCTCGCTGAACAAAGGGGCGGAATCCTTTACAGCCCTTGGCTAGACGGATGTCCCAGGTGTATATCTAACAAACGGGAGGATTTGAGATCGTCCCGTAACTGACGCCGGTTGCTTGCTTGTGTATTATTATTATCCTACAGAACTGTCATCTGGCCAAGTCATTCCTGCCTCGGCTTGAGATCGTTTGTGAGCAGCAGCTAACAGCTGGAGACGTCCACCCAGACTTCCGCTTATGGCTTACATCGTACCCGTCTGACATCTTCCCAGCCTCGGTACTGGAAAATGGCCTAAAGATCACTAACGAGCCACCGAAAGGACTCAGGGCTGGTAAGCTCGGGCCAAGGCCACACTGGCAGGTTTGGCTGTCAGTCTGTGTGTGTGTGTGTGTGTGTATGTGTGGATATCGAGGCAAGGGCACGTGAGGCCACAGTGTGCTGATAGCCGCAATCTCGGCACCCGACGTTGTGGTAAATCCCATAGCCCACCTAATAATAACTACCACAAGTGGGTGGGCTATGGGCTTTACCACAACGTCGGGTGCCGAGACGGCAAGCAGCTCTGAGGCGGATGGGTTTCCTAGGTTGCGGGCTAGGAGCCTTCTTACCGATGGGGGCCTTCTAAGCTAATGACTGCGACATGTCTGTCCCAGGGATGGAGCGCATCTACAAGAGTGAGCCACTGTCTGACAAGACATTCCTCGACGGACCCATACGGCAGCCGCAAGCATTCAAAAACTTGGTTTATGCTTTGGCATTCTTCCACTGTGTTGCTGTCGGCAGGAGGTGAGGCTCTGCTTTCCTGTATGATGTGTGGGACAGGGGGGTATATCTCCACCCGTGGCAGCTACCTGGCAAAACCCTGCCTTCCTCGGTATTTCGGGGCACCCTCATCTAGTCACCTTAGTCAACTTCTCAATGGATAGCTTAGGTTCCGCACCCACCACCAGCGTCCGACGGAATCTGCCGGATCGACGGCGGCCCGACTCCATTCCTGGCCAGCTCGCAAGCCAGCTTTATCCCAGGTCACCACCGTCCATCGACTAGGGGCACTTTACCCTCCACCATCGGAAGGATTTTCGACCCTGACAGGTCTCAATCCCGGGGTCTCCCGGGGGCAGTGGTCCGTCCCTTACCAATAGTGTGCGCATGTATGTATGTAAGAGTTGTGTACCTGGGGGGTGTATACCGCCTTTCGCTTGTGTGCGACTCTTGGACGTTTTCTGCGCATCACAGGAACTACGGCCCTGTAGGCTGGAACATCCCCTATGCCTTCAATGAGAATGACCTGCGAATCAGCTTGCGCCAGTTGAAGGCATTCCTGGACGAGTCGGAGACACCGCCGCTCCGGATGCTGATGTACACAGCGGGAGAGTGCAATTACGGAGGGAAGGTAATCGGATGTGGGATTGATGGCTCTCATTCTGCAAGCGGAACAAACGGTGTTGTCTCTGTGTATGTTTGTCTGTAACGTCAAAGTGCCTATGCATCTCTTACCTCGACGAATCCTTCTGGAATGCCGCTTTAAGGGCCTCCATGGGGCGGCAACGTTATTTCCCTTACATCCTGCACGTCTGGTCCATTCCGGTATAACAGGTCACGGACGCCAAGGATAGGCGGACGCTGATGACCCTGCTGGCGGTGTACTACCGGAAGGAGGTTGCAGCAGCAAATGTGGGGCAAGCTGGGAATGGCGACGTGAAGTTTACTCCAAGTGGAACGTACCGTATCCCTCGCCTCGGTGGGTAGGAATGGCATCGAGCGCCAAGCAGTTCCTTTTGCCCCTTTGCTGTTCTCTGTAACGAATCCTAACAACGGTTAGAAATGGGTTGTTTGAACAACTTCTGGGTTGGGAACGCCTTCTTACGTAGAACTGTCGGCCGTCATATGTGCACCTCTATGTGGAGTGCACCGCCAAACGCTGCCGGGGGAGGTGTCGTATCCACAGTCGTCGCTATATGGGTGGGGGTTTGGTGCCCCTTTCACCTCGCACCTAGTTTGCTATTACCGGGTGTTCATTCATAGATTGTGGTTCTATGACTGCAGCAGCTGGTTGGCACTCGCCTGTAGCATAGAAGTAATAGATAGGGTTTGGCACTACTGGTAACGCGCGACCATTGCCCCCGGGAGATCCCGGGATCGATACCCGTTAGGGTCAAAAATCCTTCCGATGGTGGAAGGTGTGCGCCCCTAGTTGATGACGGTGGTGACCTGGGATAAAGTTAACCTGCGAGCCGACCAGGAATGGAGTTGGGCCGCTGTCGACCCGGCAGATTCCATTGGATGCTGGTGGTGGGTGCGGAACCTGAGCGATCCACTGAGAAGTTGACTAGGGTGACTGGATGAGGGTGCCCCGAAATACCGGGGAAGGCAGGGTTTCGCAGGGTAGCTGCCACGGGCGAAGATATACCCCCTGTTACACACATAAGATAATAGGGACAACAACGGTGTGGCGGCCGGACACTACTGTGTGGGGCAACACTTGAGCGCCTGTTAACGCGTCGTTGCAGTGCGTGTAAAAGGGGGGAAGGGAGGAAATTGGGCATCTTTGCTCCTGTATACCTACACCACGATATAGAGTATATAGCCACTGCTAAAAGCCGTGTTCAACCAACTGTACTGAACCGAGTGCGTGTACCGACACTTTTTGGTGACTAGGTGACTACGCTCACTACCTTTCAGTGCTCTCATCTTTACCCCTTGGAGAGGCACCTCCGGAGGTGTTTGGTCTCCATCAGAATGCGGCCATTACGCGTGATTTGGCGGAGGCCCGACAGCTGCTGGACAGCCTTGCGCTGACGACTGCCACGTTGGCAGCGACCAGCGACACGGCTGCAGATCACGGTGAGCCATATGAGTGGCCTACTTGTAATGGGATGTGAGCCATATCAATGAACTACATTAGGGGGCTAGATTCTCTGTTGTTTTTTTGGCACAGCTACCAACATGTTTGAAGTTTGTTCACCTGCAGGTCTGCAGCACGGTGAAGAAGCAGCATCTCCTGCTGGAGGGGATGTCGTCCATGGTGGGGGGGTTTTGAGAGCCATCACTGCAGAAATTCTTGCAAAGCTTCCCGCTAACTTTGATATCGAGGAGGCTTCGAAGAAGTACCCTGTCACATACCTCGAGTCTATGAACACAGTGCTCGTGCAGGAGCTGGTTCGGGTCAATACGCTCTTACAGGTAGGTGGGGTTGGGGATCCGCCAGTCCCATCATCCTTCCTGTCATGACCGCTTTGAACATAGAGAGCTTGTCGCGATAGAGCCCCATAGGCTCAAACCTGCCGCTTTGTTTATTTAATTTTGAAGGTCATCCGCACCAGCCTTGAGGAGCTCACGCGTGCTTTGCGTGGTGAGGTCTTGATGAGCAGTGAGCTGGAGCGCGTCTCGCATTCCTTGAATGCGGGTAAGGTGCCGGAGCTGTGGTTGGCCAAGTCCTTCCCTTCCTTGAAGCCCTTGGGCCCGTACGTCAAGGAGCTCCTGGAAAGGGTCCAATTCTTCTTCACGTGGCTTCACGAGGGCCCGCCGGTCGTCTTTTGGATCAGTGGATTCTTCTTCACGCAGGTACGCCGCTCTGTACCGCCATGCGAGTAAGCTGACAGCTGGCGCTGGACCTGCTAGGGCACGCAACAATGCTAAGCCATGTATGCGAACTGGGTGCCTAGATTGGGCTTGAACCCTGGTTTTAAATGTTATCACAGGCTTTCCTGACCGGAGCTAAGCAGAACTACGCACGCAAGCATCGTCTACCAATAGATCTCATCGACTTCCAGCACGTGGTCTGCGATGGGCCTGACGACGCCTTGAGGGCGCCCGAGGATGGCGTCCTGTGCAGCGGCATGTTCTTGGAGGCAGCTGCGTGGGACATCGTGGGGCATCGCCTCTGTGAGAGCGAACCGCGAACCCTTTTCGTCCAGCTGCCGCCAGTCCACTTCTGCCCTGCTAAGATTGGGGAGGAGAACGAGAACCTACAGGTAAAGTTGCACCTTGTTGCCTTCTGTGTGGTTGATGCCTGAAAGCAAGTGCCCTGCAGCGTGCATCTGCCGTACGATAATTCTCACTCCTTGTTGCCTTCCGCCGCTGTTGTTGGCCACAGCTGCAGGAGGGTTGGGTGCTGTACTCGTGCCCACTCTACAAAACCAGCGAGCGGCGCGGAGTTCTGTCGACGACAGGCCACTCCACGAACTTCGTTTGTGATGTGGGCCTCCCCTCTTCCCAGCCTGAATCACATTGGATCCTCAGAGGAGTTGCGCTACTGACGTCCCTAGATTCGTGATGAATGAGGAATGCTGTCGCGCGTGTGTAGGTGTCGGGGGTGTGCAGGTGTAGGTGTGAGATGGTGATGATGATGCATCATGGTGGTGTTAATAAGTGAACACTGGCCGGGGCAAGCCTGGCGTGCGTTGTCAAGGGTGGGTTGTCAAGGGGACTGGAGCGTATTATTCCTGTCGCTGTATGCGCGAGCTATCGAGGAGTAAGGTAGTGTATGCACACGGCTCGGGCTTGTGTACAGAGGACGGGTACAAGGTAGCTGTTGATGCATTGATGTGCGGTGTGTAGTGCTTGTTGAATTATACATACGATGCGTAGGTAGCAATAATTCATGTATTGGCGTTGTCGAGGCCCACAGGTAGGATCCCACATGGTTTTTAGGCGCCTTTGATTTGGCTGACTTCCAGTCACGTTTAAATCTGTGACCATGCTGTGGAACTATGGGGCGTGTTGAGGTTTTGCGGTTTTATTTGTGATTGTGTGGTTTAAACGTTGCCGCATACATATCCATATTCCGACTTGTACTTGCACCCTACCCTACCCTACCCTACTGCTGCATTCGGGTCCAATTTTATTCTCGTTTCTCTCATCCTAGCTTCTGAACCGCGTGATTGTGCACATATATGCATATGCATCATTCTTCATTTCGCATTTGTACATTTCCATCGTTGAACACTGCATGTCATTAGGGCTTGCTGCTGCTGGCTGCGGATGCTTTGCTACACACACCTCCTACGCACTTCACCTCGTTTTGGTCGTTCACTGTAAATGATGTCCGGCCTCAGTGATTGGAAAAGGGTCCCAGATCAAAATTCTTGCTGTTGGCGGTGTGGGACGTAGACGCAGCTGTTTGCACAGCCACTAGCGCTATCGGTGCGCGGTTTTCTTATGACGCACAGACTATGTGTTACATGCGGGTTGAGGAACAGGGGTTGGGAATCGGAGCGCCAGGCGGCGCACTCGAGGCCTAAACGATGCACCGTAAGGACCAGAGGCGTATAGCCGGGCAGGCAGCACGCACCTGGGCAAAGACGCCTGGGTCCGATATCCCGCGAACAATGCTTGCATAAAAAGCCAGTCCACAACCTCCTACAGCCCGTATTAGCTAGCTTCACGCTGGCTAACTTCCCGCTGGCTAACTCAGCCTCCTTTCCTCCTGGCTAACTCAGCCGTGCATGTACCCGGCAGGTCACTGCAGGTCCAACGCGTCTGGAACTACAGTCGAGGGACAGATGGCCGCTTCAACCGATCCAGCAGTATATATGTGCCCGGCGCCACCTTTGGTCTTTGCGGGGCCATGTTTGTCTGGGCATCAGGGCAAGCTTGTCTTGCTGTTCCCGTTCATGCCGGGGCAGAGCATACTGAAAATGCGACCTGATTGCTAAGTTGATTGTATGACAAATGTTCTGGTAATGACCGAAAATTTCCAACAGGTTATTCAATTTACAAATCCAAGAAACGTTAGATAATCATCATTTTTCATATAACATCTGATGAGCTTCGTTCAACTGGATACATGACATCGACGAATCGACGCTCGATGACGCAACAGTTGAGGGTGGAACCGGTGGACGAGCAAACCGCACTGCCATGGTTCCGATCCCCTTGACGCTCGACCGATGCTTGACCACGTAGCAGGCTACCTTTGTGTTTATTGCATTAGAGCGGCGCTGAGATCGCGTGTGGCTTCATCATGAGGTGGTTGTGACATACTTTTGGGCGGGAGGAGCTTTGGAGCTGCAAAGCTCTCACGTCCTGTGAAGGAGCGAACCACGGATATTTTATTGCTATGATTTTTGCCGGCTATTTCACATCGTAGGCTTTGCATGGCCAACGAGCAGGTTAACGGTGCACAATGGCTGATGGATGTTTTTGCAGCGCCGCCGCTATGGGAAGCGGATGTCGTCAAACGTATCGCTAAAAGAGCGCAGCGTTTGGAAAAGGAAGTCCCAGCTGCCCTCGTGCTTGGGAATGTTGTTGCAGTCGCATCACCTCCTGCACGGTTCCCTGAAGGACAAGCACGTCAAGGACCCAGACTGCCTTCATCCGCAATCCTGCAACCTATGCATGGCAGCGCACATGCTCAGGCTCCGGCGTCTCGGCGTCAGCCACCAAGCGCGAATGCGTGTCAGCCCGTGCAAGACCAGACTCCTCCAATGCCGCAGCTACAAACGGCACCCGAGCAGCGGCTGATCTTCTCACCCCGTCATCATGATTCCATACAGTTGCCTCAGCGACAACCGACTTGTTTCCGCGGGATGCAACCGGATGGCCATTCCGGGCAGTGGCGAGGAGCAGCAGATGGTTGTAGGGGCCCGGCTGAATCTTCGGCTGCCTGCACTGGAGGACCCAGCGCTGCAAAACTGCAGCACGACCACGACCACCGCATTTCCCTTCATCATCACCATCATCACCATCATCATCATCAGCAGCAGCAGCAGCAGCATCCAACCGCAGAGCAAACCCGGCACGGCTCTCTAGCCTCTCTTCCTCCCCCTCCTCCCTCCCATCGCTACAATCAGCTACAGAGCGGTGGCGGCGGCGGCGCCCAAAACAGCCGCACGTACCACCATTTCCGACACAGCGGTGAGCCCAACCCCAACCCCAACCCCACTCCCATCCGGCCCGCTGACCACCACCTGGTTGTAGACTCACCACCGCCACCAGCACCGGCACCGGCAGCCGTTGGACAGCCGATTGCTTCGGCCGCCCGCCTTTCCTGTACCGGTGGTGGTGTGGGTAGCCGCTGCCGCAGTGAGCCGCCCTCCCTGGAGCCGCCCTCCTCGGGGCCCCAGCGATGGGGCCCAGAAGCGATGGAGGTGACGCCCTCAGAGGCGCCGGCGGCGCCGCTGCCGCCACCCAAGCGACTGCGTCTGGACCGCGGCTCCCTCGTCCTGGACCAGCAGGGGCCGCCTCGGGGCGGCTCGGGGCTGTGTGGGGGTGACCGGGAACTGGTGGACCAGCCCCTGGCCAGGCGGATGCAGCAGGGCCAGGGGCTGGGGCAGATCTCGCCGGCCGTTGCAGCAGCAACAGCAGCAGCCGGTGATGATGGTGATGACAACAGGGCTGGTGGCACTGCTGCTGCCGGGCAGCATGCGGTGATGACGTGGCGCAGTGATGCGGACTGCGGTGAGGGGGGTGAGGGAGGCCCTGACCTGACCCTGATGCAGCGCCTGATGCGGAAGCGCCTGATGCGCCAGGGGGGTTCAGCACCGGTAGCAGCAGCACCGGCCGGGTCGGCGGTGGCGGCACGTGATGCCAGCACTGGGCGGCACCACCAGCACCAGCACCACCAGCACCAGCAACAAGGTACCCCCAGCAACGAAGGGGAGCAGCGCCAGCG